AACACATGGACACTACCAACCTCAATAAGCATATACATCCAATGGTAATAACAACAGTAGTGGAATAAATGGACTTCGAGTTGCAATATTCATATGATGTCAACTTGCAGAGTAGCGACTTTCTAACCAAATGTAATTTTTTAGAGTGAGAGTTGTCAGTTTAGATTTACCCCCCAATTTCAATTATCAGAAAAAAAATCCCAGTCGATCTATTAGTTGTGTTGAACAAATATTCTGGTAGAAGGTGATATGAACATGCCTGCGTCATCATCGAGAAGAGGAGGCAGACACACACCATGGAGAGATAGAAGATGGCTTTACTTGCAATCATTTCAATCTGAGCAAACAATTGCAACTTGTTTAAATTCTGCGTGTGCACATGGATGTATATATATTTTTTGATGCTCATTTCGATAAACTCACATGAAAAAAAATCCCTTGCAATAAAATCCCGGTTTTACTGCAGGATATACGGTCATCTAAAACGAGGAGAAAGATGAAAGGATGTTGAACATTTCCCTCAGACATGCATAATTCCATTGGTCACTGATGTATCTATTTTCTGGGTGAAGATCTGAAGCTTATGAAAAATGGGGAAATTAAAAGTTGGTACACTTTAAATTGATCAATAAAATACAACTTATCTAAAGTGACTTCACTTTAGTGTTCCAGCACTCTTCTAGAGTGTATCCATATAGAGATGGAAATTGTTATTGAGCACAGTTTGTAGCAACTGCCACTCACATCTCATTCACAACAGCAATTACCGATTGCGCCCTAAGCAAACGTAGATTAATTCATTCAATTTCCACTTTCTAGCATAGTTTTCCTCTATGTTTTCGTCATCTCCTAAATCAAAATGTGATTTGTCTGCCAACGCGGTGCTTGTCAAGTTGCTAATCAAGAGAAGGCGAGGAGGAGTGGCACGTGTCTGCTCCATTTTCGCAAAGTTGGACTAGGAACCAACAGTGGTAGGGGTGGAAAATAAATTTGATTTGAAATATTTCAATCAAAATAAGGATCAAAGTTAGCAAACTGGATGCAATTTGGTTGAGAATAATTAGTAATATATATCCAGTTCATTCACAATTTGCAATAAAGGCGAAAGTTGCTAAAAGCGATGTGTGTACATTGAAATAGTAGAAGTTACCTATTATAAATTACTGCTTTTCTCAATGACCTTTCCTCCGCATTAACGCCGAATAATTACACTGTCATTGCTCACATTGAAAGAAAAGTACTTGAGTTCACATGCCTTGAAAAAGGACCTTCAATTGTTGTAGTCATGGTGGCACATAATGTGAATTCTACTAGGAATTTCAAAGAATATCACAGTTAAGAGTACTGCTCGAAATCTCGGAAAAAATGGAGCTTGGGTTTCGTCGTTCTGCTGATTTCAGCATTATTCAGCAAGGTGTTTAACAAGGTTAAGACAAATAACCAATGTTTCAGCTCTTTTACGTCACGACATGCAACTGCTCCAACTCGCACTTTCCACCAGCTGTTACTTATGCGGAGATGGAGAAGGAAGTGGATGCTGCACCCAATTGTTCAAAATGGCCAAATTCAGGTGCTGCATTCTTACACCTCCCTCAGTCAAACATAATCTGGTCTGAGGCAATTGTACTTTCGATAAAGTATGCAAATGGATGCGAATGTCATGGGAATCATCATTTACATTCTTTTTACCAATAGACTCTAAAATCGCAAATTCTTCGAATGGTCAGAGCGTGTTGCATGCCGTTGCCGTTTATGTAAGTAGAAAGTGCCATAAAGAAAACATCTTCATCACTACAATAAGGAATTTACTAGTGAATGCCAATATAATGCTGAAATCAGGTCGTTTCATGCATCCAACACACACCAAAAATTACTTACTAGTAGTTCACTTTTGTTCCACATTCAAGTCCGCGATCTTTGGTGAATCTGTGACTTACTTCGTTTCCTATGTTCATCCACATTACCGTTGAAAGCCACACATGCCTAAACCTCTAGGTATATGAGCCTATTTTACAATTTTGATTTCAAAGAATTTAACTTTCAACTGTTTAAAGAATCACAATACAAAGAGCATTGCAATAATCCCGTGCAGAACGATATGAATAAAGGTTTTATGACCTACGATTTTTTCTTTTTTAATTATCGCCATAGGTAGGTGAATCAGCACTGACAATCTTTACTCTAATAAATTACATTTGGTATGGTCGCTAAAACGCCAAAAGTTGACTTCAATTTCACTGATTGACTTAGTAAAATTATTAAGTGAATACTTTGTACAGTTCATTAAATTGCCTGTGATGTAATGAGTGTCTTGATATTTCAGGATGGATGAGATGAAAATCTCCCGCACTTTCATGATTAGTTGCCATCCTAACGAAATTCGTTCGACACGGCAAACAAGATACAGATCATCATTGTGCTATTTTATTTATATTAACTACATGAATACAAATGCGGAATAATCCTGAACTCAGGTGATAAAAGTAGAATAATTAATGGAGTCGAGAGGAAAGTGAATACGTCAAGAATAAAGTGAAGGCTTGGATTTATCAAGGAGACACATTTCCTTTAATTTAACCAATAACATTTCGCATAACTTGCACCCTCCACTATTCAAATTTATCATTTGTTCCATTAAGCTGTACTAATCTTTCTCTGCAATTTCGAATGCACATCGACTATTATTTTTACCACGAGGGTTAATTTTACTATTTCAAGATTTACAATTCATCCCTTAGGGTTGACATCCCAACATTTCTCTTCATGAAATTCGGAAAATTACAGATCCAAACTCAGTTGTAATACGTGTAAAATGGCTCCAGAAATATTCTTTTCTCAGATCAATCAATTAATTGCGTTTTATCTTTGTTCAATGGAAAAGAATAATTAAATAAAATCTTTATAATTCAGGGAGAGATGTAACGGAGGCTTCATTATTATGGTTCGACTGTTCAAACTGCAATTCTATTCACACAGTCGCACAGGAAACAGTCATACTTCACACTACCTCCAATGCTGAGATACTCCAGGAAAGAAAATTTATATAGAAGAACTTGGAGTCAAGTAAATGGGAGAATGAATCCTCCATTTCGTTGAACAACAGCGTTCCAGCATTCAATAATGCCAATCCAATTGACCTTATAACATTCACAATTGTGAAAATTCGTTTACATATTTCTATTTCATTAGAACTTCTATTTTTGTGCATTAGAATGCAATAACGAAAGCTTTAAAAGCACTTCAGTTCAGCCAACTCCTCCATTTCATGAAAATAATCCCAATTGAGTGCAGTTCTGTCCCTTATAACCACACCGTATTGTCAAGATTGTGCGATCTTAAACATGCAAACGGATAAAGAGGCGACGTGATCTATTGTGAGTGAGGAGTGCATAAAATTAATTCTTGATTCTTTCCAACAACGATTTAATAAATTTGACATTGGCATTTAAGATAGAAGTGTTCACTCATTGATGGTTCCCTTTCCCTGAGATATTCATAGGTGTTTACACTTTCAATTCATAGTTTAATGGAACAAACGTTCACTTAAACTTCCATCTCGAATTGATCACACTTTAAGGGATGCAAATCGTTCAAAGTTCTCTATGCATTTGAGTCAAGTACGAGGAGGCAACGAAATAGCACTAGCTAAATTGCAGTTAGCATATTTTTTAGCGAAATTTTTCATTGAGGAGGAAAAGACCAGGCGACTATATCACATTCACAGGATTTACCACAAATGACGTCTTACAATAAGTGTGCTGAAATTGTTTTAGCAATTGGAGCCAACATGTGCATTTTTGTCAGATTAGAGGAAAACCACCTCTGCGTGTAAGAACAGGAATTAACTTCCTAAGTCCCACATTCAGACACCTTGTGACCTGTGGAATGTGAGAGACGAGAACAAATCGCTTTTATGGCTTTACTTTATGCCTTTCAATTATTGAACTACAGATCAAGGTGTGCTAAATTTTGCCATCTTTCAAAGTGAACTTGATAGACATCATCCATGATTTGAAATGCTATAATTGGATGATTTGAGAGGAAACATGCCAAATTTCTTTCAATCACCTAAATCCAAGCAACAAAAGTTTGTGGTGTCATCACAAATTTCACCTTTCACCGAGTTATTCATTCGCTTTTCCCTCACTTGCATGACTACCGAGACTAGTTGGACGATCATAACTTTCAGAAAGTAATCAATGCCAAAACACTGAAAACACCGTTCAATAATATCATTCAAGTCAACCATTAAGCAATCTTCTTCAAAGAAACTTGATGAGAGAGATATGTTGAACCATTTCCATATTTTCATTCATTAATTTGCAATCGTAAAACTTAGGAAAGAAGTATAACTAGTGAACTGGCAAAATCAGTTCTCATGTTTGAGACGATGATCGATGCGAAATCTAAATGGAAGAAGAAGATCACTTCAACCCAGTGGGTCAAATGATGAATTTGAATGATGGAAAGTGAACAATCTCTTGTCCAAGACTTTTGAAACGAGAGCCTTTAAATCACATGACATGCTGCGTCTCAATATCTCCATGACTTCACATTAGCATGAATTGATTCTTTTACTCGCCAATTTAACCCATGCTGAACTCCTTTCTATCCGTGTTCCACTGCGTTCCACATTTATAAATTGAAAATTTTGTGTTTATGTGGCTTATGATAATAAAATTTCACAATGATGACCCGTGTCTTGTTTGGCGCGTCAGCAAACTTTTGTATGGGAGGCAACCAATCAAGCATATACACCAAATTTATATATTAACCCAAATTAAATATTCGAGCACACATTTCATTTCCATCTCAGTTGTAGTTGTGAAACAAAATTTACGTTTTTAGAGTAAAAGTGTTCAGTTCTGATTTACTCGCCAATTGCGATTATTGGAAGAAAGATTAACTCTTAGAACATCAAAAGCATGGTTTATTTCGAGTTTGTGGCGAATGAGAAGGGGAAATGGAAAGAAAAGAGAAACTTGGTTCACAATATTCATTTAACCAAGACGAGGAGTAGCGGCATGAGGAGCCATTGGTTTTGACTTTGGAGGCGAAGGAGTCAACACATCACTGGTGTTACCCTGCAAACCGGTATCTGGTGATCCGTTATTCTCTACTGGCTGACTTCCACTGCCAAGGCAGAAAGGAGCATGAAGATTCATTGGTCATGAATTTGGAGACGAATGTGCTAACGCATCGCTAGATTGTTGGTTTGAACCGGCGTCTGGTGAGTCGTTACTCTCTGCTGATTGGATTTGACTATCACATGCCTGGGTCATCTTTGAAAACAGAAGACAGAAATACACCAAAGAGAGATAGAAGATTGCTTTCTTTGTGAACATGCCAATCTGAGTATGCAAATACAACTCGAGTAAATATATATGCAGTTTGACGAACTCACCTGAAATAAATCCATTGTGATGAACTCTTGGTTTTGTCTCATGGCGTATGGTCATTAAAAGGAGGGTAAGATGAAAGGAGGTTGAAAATTTCTCTCAGCCAAATATAGTTCAATCAGCCACATCGGAATATATAATATTTTATGAAAACCTAAAGCTCACTGAAGATTTATTATTATGTGTTTTAACTATAATGTAATCAATTAATACTTTAAATGTGAGATCTTTTTCTTTAAAATTTCCTTCCTCTGTGAGTATTTGGAAGAAAAAGGAAATCAAGAGATCTACGATCACGAAGATCTTTACTGAATGAAACATAGTTTTCATCGAATGCTCAATTTTTGTGTGTTAACACTTTATAAGAGCGCATGAATTACAATTTAAACATTTAGTTGAATAATGAATGTAGCGAATGCCATTCACACCTCAATTTCGGTCCCCTCTTTACTGCTCCTGACACACATCACTTCTCAGAGCATAATGGTGGAAAGCACTGTTCATGTGTAGTAGATATAACGCATAAATTGGCGCATAACATTCTTTTGCACTAAAAACTACTTGCGTACAAATAATTCCAGGAATACTTTTTAGTAGCCTGTTAATTGGAAGATATAGTTTATTATCATGTAAATCGTGAATTATGAGGCTGAGTTTTGGATAGAGATATGCTGTGGAAGGGTGGTGTGTCTCGAACCAGCACTTAGTGATTTCGCATTATTCAAACTTGGATTGAATGTGTTCGCTTCTCCAAAGCTCACTCCTTTCCTTTTGGCATGCATTAACTTGAGTCTACCGAAGGGATAACTTATAAGTATTAGCATCACATAACAGATTATGAGTCACACGTAGAGCATTGAATTGCGGAGAGGCAGTTCACCTCGGCTAAGACTAACATCATTTAATGTTTAATGTTTCGCAGAGAGCGAAAAGTGAAGACTTGTGCAAGTGCCTCCATTTAAAATTTTGATTCGGATAGTGCTCTCTTTGTTTGAGGCAAATCCACCTCAAAATGCCACAGCTTCTAGAATTGGGTCTCTGTTTGTTGACTCATCTTCCAGTCCTCTACATTCACTTCTTTTCGGCAAGAAGTTCAAATCTGGTTTTGACACAAGTGAAACGCAGTAAATGAATGAAAGAGCTTTGAAAAGGAAGAAGTCATTCGATTGTTTTTGACAGTGTTCATTGAAATGTCAATGCCAAGAGAGATTAAGATTGGCACAAATTCTCTCTTACTCACTTTCAGATTCACTTAGCTAATCTTGACTCAGCCCACAATTAATACAACAGTAGAAATTATCGAATTTCAATTGAGTATTGAAGAAAACTCAAGATTGAGTTCAAAACTAGACTTTTATTCTCAAAGATTTGCGAGAGAGTGGGAGTGAGTGAGAGATGAACGGATTTATTGAGGGAGAACCAATGAACCCCTTCCAACTTCAGTCTAGAACACTGTTACATTATGGTATAAGTATATCACATTCATTAATCCTTAATCTCATTTGATGTGCCAATTATTGTTAGTAGTCTAATAGTTAATAGTCATTTTTAAATAATTGCGTAGGATCAAATATAAATCAATGTTGTTGATTTGTAGGCAAACGATGTGACGTTCAGTCGAACGCCACTAAGCTCTATATATTCATATTTCTCAACGTTTTCCCAATGATTTCTTCCCAAAAGTGGTGCTCATTCAAATAGTTGGGGTATTCATGCAAGAAAGGAGGAATTGAATGTGTATCTCGGTGTAAGATGTAATAGGTGATAACATTGCAAAGCTGTGTGGCTTGATATCAGGTAATTGAAATAAATTTGACATTATTCCACTTGTGACCTTCAACAGTTATTTTTCACTTCATTTACCCATGCCACCAATTTCACTTTGTATTATGAAAATATTTATAACGCCTAGTTCTTTATTACATCGAGATCTGTAGTTCAGTAATAAAAAGCCATAAAGTGAGGATATAAAAGCGGCTTAATCTCGCCACTTTCAATCCACAGGTCACAATGCCATTGAATATGGTGATTACGAAGTTAATTGTGGTTCTTACGTGGATTAGCGTTTATCACTAATCTGACAATAAAACACATTATGTGTCCTGTTGTTGGAATAATGGCAACATTGTCAATGTAAGAGGTCACTTCTGGTAAGATGAAGAGAGTGTGTTATACACACCTGGACTTTGTATCTTAAATGTCCTTACTCTTTGTCTTTTCACTCAAAGAATTAGTTTCGATTCTAATGAGACCACAAAAGGTATCCCATCAAAGTAAATGGAATTAAAAAATGAGAGGGGGGGGGAGATTTAATAAGTGTTGAACTGACTTACAAATGAGAAAAAAGGTGGAACGAAAAGTAACTGGTGTGGACTGTTGACTAACTGGCTAATATTTATTCTGACATTTACTAGATATGCATTAGTTTAGAGGTGGGTTGTGAGAACGCCCTACGCTACACCTATTGGCACACCTATTTCACAGTGACTCATTCTGCCAAGTCAAAATGTGAAAATTCAATCATAAATTTTTAAGTGTCAAAAAAATCATTTTTACCTTCTAACTGCAGAAATAGAAATCATTTTAATCACTATAAACACATCACTAATACACGGTTAAAACCAGCTCATTATTTCAAATTAATTAACCACTCCAATGTCACGAAGTGGTGCTGCATGAACAAATATTCTGATCTCTTGATTTACGAAGTTTGTCAAGAAAATATCCTTTCTTATTAAGTTCCAGCACATTCTATTCCACGTTTCAATGTGCCTTGGTATTTTCAGCTAGATAGTGGACATATCAATGATCGGTTTAAGTATGCAGTACTTCAATGAAGAATGGTTAGATGTTGTTGTATGTAAGAACAAAGTTTGCGTAAGACGAATGTGCTGGATAGCATACTTTGCAAGATGACATTCTTCAGCCTCAATTAGTCAAACAAAAAATCGCACCTAATTGACATATGGGATTGATAGAATTGTGTCAAATGAAGGCGAATACTTTGGGAAACATCACTTACAATATGCTTATTGGAGCTTCAATTGCTAAGCCTGATGTGATTAGCACCTTTCTATGCACTCAAGATACAGATCCTTAAATGGGTGAGGGGGGGGGAGGTTCAGAGTGCGCTGCAAGCAGATATCTTATGTGAAAGCCGAAAGTGCCGTAATGTAACCATCTGCTTTTGCATTTCATGAGAATTAGTAATGAATGTAAATATAATTCTGAAATTAGGCCGTTTTATTAAACCTACTGACACCAAATGAGTACATCATCGTAATTTACTTTTATTCCACACTTATCTGCTTATAATGCTTCCACCTCTACCTGAGATCCTTTGGTCAGTTGCTAAGAGTATGGTTGGCATTAAAGTTGAGATTAACATTTATCGAACATTATACGGCATTGGGAAGAGATTGATTGACAAATGTGCTAATTAAAAAACATGACCGATCATTTCAGCGCAAGGAATGGAAGCAGATTGCGGAATAGATTGACCACTTTACTGCACAGAATGCAGCTTCTGAAGGATTAGTCAGCAGATTCACTTCAAGCAATATAAGTTAATTACATTTCTCATTTCTAATATCGATTTGCCTTCAATTACATTCATTCATTTAACACTTCATGCTAATTGTTTTGTTGTCTGAGATGAAAAGTGTTGGTAAATATTTCAGTATGGATGGGATGGAACTCTTCTGTACTTGCATGATATGTTGTCTCTCGATGACAATATTTCGCTGACAACACAAACTAGATATATGTCATCATTGTGTCATTTATTGTTATAAACCACAAAATTACAACACTTTCACCCTTCCAATTTGCAGGTAAAATATGTAAGAATACTTCATTTGAGGGTTTCACGGTGGCACTATTGATATGGTTCGAGAGCTCGAAAAGGCAGCTACATTCGAGCGGGCACACTGACAACAGCCCTTTCATCCAATTTCACCTTTCCGACTTAATGACAAAATATGAATTATTAGATACATTTTTTCTTAGAAAATGATTTTTCATCCAACGCTTAACTGCACGAATGTTGACGTTTTCGAGATGATGAATTGGGAATTATCAATTCATATGGCAATAGTTACCGTGGTCAACAACTGGTATTTTATTCTAAGTCAGTTTACTTCGCATGCAAATTACAGAATGTGATTCAGTCAATTGAATAATCAACCGGAGGTATTTACTAATCATATTATAACCAAAGCTTGATTCAGTCAAGTCAAACAAAATCACGCCCTGTTGTATACCAGTGTTTTTGATCTAGAAACAAACGACGTGACAGCAATAGATAAGCCACTTTAGATTTGCCATTCATGTGTTCTCGGATTTTTGGCTTTGGTTTCCGATTTGATATGTTTATTAAAGGAGACTCAAGATCAAGTTCAAAATTGGAAAGATAGAGTCACTGAACCTATTCTCATAATTGCTATTCAAATGAGGAATGAGAGTTATGTCAGTTGACCACAATGGTTTATATTAGAACAATACGAGAATGATCAGAATGCATTTTGGCAGCTTATTGAGGGGTGGATGCATAATATTGCTATAGAAATTATAAAATATGAGGCTTTGGCTTGAATAGAGATGTGCCATGGGAGGGTGGTGTGTCTCGAATCAGCACCTTATGATTTCGTCCCAATAAAATTAAGATTGAATGCGTTAGCTTCTCCAATGCTCTTTACCCACCATCAACCTCTCTCATTCCATTTGACATCCTTATAGGAACGTGTCAGAAATATAAATAATAGCCTTTTCGGATCTGTAAGTTGGCGAAGTTCATAATGAATAATTTTTAGTCTTCAAGACTTAGTGATGAGGTATAATTAGTATAATGGCAAAATCAACCCTTGTGGCTAAAATAGGGACCA